ACACAATAATTTAGCTGAGATCTCACCAAAGTTCTATACAATTCCATCACAATTTCCCTGTTTTGGTATATACCTCAACTGATAAAGGCAATCATTCCATATACCTTTTTCACTACCCTACTAACATGCCCTTCAGCTTTCAGAGATCTATGGATAATCATGCAAAGATCCCTTTGTTCCACAGAAATTCCTAATGACATGCTGTTCGTTGAATACTTTCTGTCAAATTACTCGTTCAAAGTGCATCACCTTACACTGTTCAGCATTTAATTCTATCATTTATCTGTCCATTTGACCATCCCATTTATATCTTCTTGTAGCTCAAGACACTCAACTTCATTGTTAAACACCCGACCAATTGTTGTTACAGCTTCAAACAATTTCCACAGAACATAATGGAATTGGTAGCTAGGGAACAATGTCTCCTGCAAAGTCAGGGTTGGGGGGTGGTATCTGCAGTCTTCCCAATATTTAATTGAGTAAATTATTATTGTTCAAGCTCTGTATTTTAAATAAGCAGTCTGATAAATTAGCAACACTAAAAGGAGTTAAGAGGGATGGTGAGATGAACCTTCATATCCTCAGTACACACATGAAAGCTGATACAGTGCTATTGAATGATGTTGCTGAGTGCAAACAAGTAGCTAGGAAGTATGAACAGCAAAGGATAAATTATTTTGGAGACACCAGAAGTAGTGCTGGAAATGCTCAGGTCAGTGAACATCTGTAGAGAAGGGATCAGAGTTAACATTTCAGTTTGATGACATTCCATCAGAATTGGTTGAAATTAGAAACATTAAAGGTTTTGAACAAGTAAAATTGTAGGGGGAAAATTAAATCGGGAGAGTCTGTGACAGGTGGAAGACAGAAGAACGGCACAGTGGCTCAGTGGTTAGGACTGCTGCCTCGCAGCACCAGGGACCTGGGTTCGATTGCACAGTTGCTCGTCAGTGGAAATTTCACATTCTCCCCATGACTGTGTGGGTTTCCTCCGGATGCTCCAGTTTCCTCCCACAGTCCAAAGATGTGCAGTTTAGATGAACTGGCCATGCTAAATTGCCCATAGGGCCCAGGGTTGTGCATGCTAGGTGGGTTAACCATGGAAAATGCAGGGACAGGGGAAGAGGGATGGGTCTGGGTGGGATGCTCTTCGGAGGGTCAGCATGGAGTCAGTGGGCCGAATAGCCTGCTTCTACATTGTAGGGATTGTACAATTCTATGAAAACAACAAGAGTTGGTTATGCAAGATCAAAAGATGTGGCAATGGCACAGATCTGGTGAAAGATGCATCAGCCTAAAACGATAGCTGTGTTTCTCTCCACAGATGTTTTGAGTATTTCTTGCATTTTCTACTATTTGTTCAGTGGTTGAATCTATCTTGTGTTCAATGCATATTTTTCTAAATTGGGTAGCTGATTAGAAATTTACACGTATGTCATAAATAACTGTTTTCACAAATTTAAAACAAAAAACTTCCTTACCTTTGACGCCCACACAAACTCATTTTGGGTTTGCCCTCGTGGGATTTCCTCTTCCCCATTTTTCATGGCTGATTTACTGTTATCCTCTTTGCTCTGCAAAAAATGATCGTCCAGTTTGTTCTTGATCCTACCACCTCTAGCTCGATAATCAGCTAAAAGCTTTGACAAGCTCTGGTCATTTCCTAAGGAATGAGTTATTCTGGTACTCAGCAGATCATGAGATGGAAGAATTTGAGTGCTTTTTGCCTGCATATTACCATTCAGACTCTGAAGGTTTGTCAAGTCCTTTAGTAGTTGTTTCTTCCTCCTGCATTCTATTTCCTTTATATCTTTGTGCAAGAGAGGGGACCAATAGACTTGTTCTGGGAAGTAACCTCTTGTTGGACACTTCATACCTTTCTCAGTCAATAGGAAAGGCTCTTTGAAAGTAATAAAAGGAGATATGCAAAGAATGACATCTTTAAGTTCCTGCTTGAATGCAACAGAGTAGGATTTCAACCTATCTTCAGAGGAAGTAACATGTTCAGTAATGAATAGATCTGTATCATCCTGAAGGGGATCACGGAAACGTTTAGGCCTGTTTCCGACAGATGGTTCAGGATTATTTAACAAACTGGGTTGTTCACGTAAGAATGCATGGTAAGTGTCTGAAGGCCCTTGGTCTTTCTTGTTTTCAGATAAGATGGAGTCTATTACAGGGGCATGGACAGATGATGTCAAAGGAGGGTCAAGAAAAGGTGCCTCAAAATCTGGAGGGGCCATATCAAGTGTGGAGCCCTCAGGTTTTACAAAAATACTGTCTCTGGAAACACTTCTTCTCAATGGCTTCTCTTCTTCACAAAACGTATTATCTTTTGGATAGTCAAAACTGGCAGTTGGAGCAAATTCAGATCCCAAGGAAATGTCTTCAATTGGACCATCAGAGTCTTTGGAAAGACTGCCAAAGTTCTCATCAGTAAACAAGTCCTGTCCATCATTTTCAGCAGTCTCACCATCAATAATGGAATGAATTGATCCACTTTTAGATAAACTTGGAGGCATGGCAAACTCATCCATGAGAAAAGAAAGCTCCAGTTGAGAATGATAAGCTACACAGATCATGAATATAATAATTTCTTTCACTCTTGCTAACTCATATTCTGAAGCACCCCTCAGCTTCACAGTACAGCCCAAATGTTGGGGACAACCTTCAAAAAACATGAGTGTCTTTATGTGACCTAGGTGGAGAAAATGAAAACAAATTAGTGACATTTTCAAACTGTTACATTGCATATAGTAACAAAGACATCCATATATAGAAGCTGCCAATCAGCACATTTTAATCCTGATCTGATGTAATCTGCAAATGCTTGTGATAACTTTTAAAAAAAAAAAAAAAATTATTTAGTTTAAAGCTTTTCGCCAAACTGTCAAAGTAATCCTGTAAGAGGCCTTTCAAGATGGGTCGCGTGGCCTCCTTCTGTATTGTAAATTCTATGATTCGTAGCAGATTAAAAATCACTTCATATGCAAGGCAAAATATGAATTAAAGCAAGAGCTGGCACAGCGCCACATTCTACTAATTTCTATATTGGCTGTTTATGCCACAATTTGGAATTACAAATACACCAAATAGTGAAAATGCTGGTTTGCAAATAGCATCAACTGATTAGCAACAAATACCCTACCCCAACAATTCCCTTACTACAGGAACAATAAATTGTTACGTCTATTTTTATGTCTTGCAGGACTCAAAGTTTTTGCTTTTTATGAACAGGACAATTTTTAAAGAGTAATTAATTGGAATTTTCTAAGAACAGATCATGATAATACAATACATTGGGCTATAATAGTCTCCCAATTGTACCCTGAAGTTTACTCTGATTTTTAATTAATTGAAACTTCCCCAAATTGGGAAAGGAATAAAAAAAAGCAAACAATGGTTTTGTGGATATTTATTGCTCGAAAGATAGCAACGTAGCAAACTAAAACTTTTGAACCAATGTCCAGTCTGTGCCTAGTTAGCTGTAAGACCACTAACTTAGCAAGATATGAAATATTTAAAAATTCCTATTTAATGTAAGCATTCTCTGAAAGGGGTAGGTGATTTGTATGTATGTATGTGTTCATGTATAGGTGGTGAGGAATATGATAGAGGACACATTAAGCGAGCAAAAAGAAAGGTTTCACTGCCACAACATTGAGGTGAAATGACTTACAAACATCCAATTGTCCAGCTCTCATACCACCACAGAACTCACGCAACCACAGCATATCCACCTTCAGAAAAAGAGGAAAAATGATTCTGGAGAAGCAAGGTGCAAAATTACTTACCATTAGGTAGTTGGAATGGTTGAAGGAAAAATTTATGGCATGTTCCAAGACGAGGCTTTGTAAGAAGTTGGTCCATTGACATGACCAAATCACCCTGGGTAACACGACTCACTCGCTCTAGCACTTGCTATGCACAAAAACAAATAAGATGTTCGCAGTCATCAGTTTCCATGGAAATAAAACTTGAAATGACACCACTTACATTTCTCCCCATCAAATATAGATAAATGATAAATTGCGTGCTATTTCTGATTTATTTTTGCTTGTCAACCCAATCAGTGGTTCAGTGTGTCTGCACATTTCATTACATTGTCCTTAGGTTAGTCCAAAGAAATTCAGCTAGATTAATAATGTCTTTTTTCCAAATAAGATTTGAAACAACACCAGCTGTATTAAGATAGTAATATGAACTGCAGTGAAGTTCCTCAAAATGCCACAGAAAAAGTACCTCAATCAACTTTTATAGAATTTCAAACTCACTGAAACATTTATTCAATTCAAACATATTTTGAATACCTACATAGCAGTTGATTTCCTTCATATTAAACAAAAACATGAACCTTAAATCAATTTGTATGGATAACGTCTCACCAAAAAGTCAAGGTGTTAAACGCTGACTGACAAAATTGGGAAACTTACTTGTTTTACGTTTATCACTAGGGTAATTCCATTTTCCAGAAGCATATCTTGAGCAATACGAGAAACAGTCTTTTCCACAAGAACCAGATTTGGTCGAACATCCACTATTCGTTGCACATAATTCTTCAGAAATTCTCTTTCCTAAGTTCCATAATGAGGATAACACTTACTCTGATTTATAAACTGATTAAGTGAAGATTTGAAAATCAAACTGAACTTTGTCTCATCAATTAGCTTTGTGCAAAATAATGCAGCTAACTTGCATCCAAATGCAGACTAGTATTTAGGAATGCACAACAGCAGTAAATTATTTTCACAAACAAGTTTTAACACAATTTAAAACACAAACCTGTAGGACAATGGGATCTATGCATGTAAACTTCGTCTCCTCTCGATAGAGGTATTCAATAGAGCATTTCAACAGCAGAATCTTTGGATTTTTTATGTGAGGGTTCATCTGAGAAATATTAGAACACTAGTCATATTAAAAGGATACAAATAAGCACAATGATTTCAAGTAACAAACTTTCAAATATAAACAATAATTAGCAGATGACTGAAATTTCACTGTTACCTTTTTATGGGCTATGTTCTTGGTACAAACGAACCCATTAACCACTGCAGAATCAAACTTTTTACCACCTGGTATCTGCAAAGCAAAAAAAAAAACAAATAAAGTAAATATTGGGATACATTTGATGTTTAGCAAGCAATTCCATTTGTTCTGAGGAGAGATCACTCGACCTGAAACGTTAACTCTGATATCTCTCCACAGATGCTGCCAGACCTGCTGATCTTTTCCAACAATTTCTGTTTTTGTTTAAATCCATTTGTTACTTGGAATTGAAAAGATTATTTCAAAATTAGTTTTATCATTAATCTATTCAAAAAGTGCATACAAGACTTGCATTTATGATTTTATTACTTATTCATTATGTAGCATTTGTTATGAACATGGAACATTCAAGAGCTTTTAAAGTGTCAATGTAGGAAACGCGACAGCTAATTTTTGCACAGCAAATTCACACAGATAGCAATGTGATAATGACCAGATAATTTTCTTTTGTGATACTCATTGAGGGATAAATATTGTTCAGGGCATCAGGGATCCCATTCTCACTCTTGAAATGGTGGTATGGGATCATTTATGTCCCTAGAGGGGGCCATAGATAGAGGCAGATGTCTCATCTCAAAGCCAACACCTCTAATAATACTGCACCAGAACTACAGCTTTGAATTTTGTGCTCAAGTAGTGAAGTGTGACTTGAGCACTGAACCTACTGACTCAAAAGGTGAGAGCACTACCCATCCAGCTATAGCCAACAAGTAATGGCTAAAAACAAAACAATTAGAAGTTCTAGCAAGTAGAGATTTTTTTTGGTGGGTTGTGTTAACATGAATCTTTGTAAGCAGAACACATCTTTTAAACCAAAAAGGTAATTTGTATGGGTTTATTTTTAAATTCACTCGTGCAACACAGGCATCCCTGGCTGGCCAACATTTATTCCCTGTCCCTAGCTGCCATTAAGAAGGTACTGCTGAGCTACCTTCTTGAACTGCTGCAGTCCATATTCTGTAGCTAGACCCATAGAGTCACTAAGGAGGGAATTCCATGGTTTTGACTCAGGACAGTGAAAGAACAATGATATATTTCCAAGTTAGAATGCTAAGTGACTTGGAGAGGAACTCGCAGGTGTTGGTGTTCTCATGTATCTGCTGTCCTTGTCCTTCTAGATGAAAATGGTTGTGGGTTTGGATGGGACTGCACGCGAGACTCAGATTCAGCATTTGATACCTTTTTTATATGAACAAATTGGCGGATATCCATGTCATCATCATTGTTCTTGACATCCGGACGCACAGCCTGTACAACCTGGCGGACCACAGGAACAATTATGTCTCTCCAGGATAGTGAGAGGGACTCGCTATATAGCAGTTGCTGCAACAAGGCCATCATATGGCTATGGTTAGCTGAACTGGATGTGAAAAAATGATAGAAAATAGAAGTCAATGAATTTTTGAAAGAACACACATGCAATAAAGCAACTAATTTTCAAACTTTCCATATTCTTATGGCGATGTAAATTTAAACTGAAAACTACACGCATCATTAAAAGCACATACAAGACTAAAAATATTTTCCAACATAACATCAAAATTATGCTTAGAATGCTAGCAATTATTAAAATAGTGATAACACAAACTCTAGCTTTCAAAGTAACATAAAAACAAAAAGTTTCCCGAAAACGCTAATGTCTGTGTAAATAGAAATGACAAGAAATGGGCAACTGTAAATTAACTATATTTTTCACATACAGAGGGGCTAAACCTTTACAAAGATTACTTATTGTTCACCAACTTTAAATGCAAGTTTGATTTCTTGTATATTGACATCAATTTAAATTGATTGCAGTGTTGATAGATATTTCTCCCAAGAATCAAGATGGCGCCAACACCAGACAACCCTTTGCGAGTTCTCTACAGCAGATCTTATTCTCACATTTCTTATGACCTTTCTGCACTTTTCAACCTAAATTCTAAATTTGTAAAAATTACTAATAACATTCTTGCTAATATTGATTGTACTTTGTGCAACAGCTGTGCAGTGTAACCTGTATGCCTTGTTCTTTCTAAGCACCCTATGCCCTGTATGTCCTTGTTTGCTATGATCTGCCTGTATGCTCACAAAACAAAGCTTTTCACTGTACTTGGGTACATATGACTACAATAAATCAAACCAAAAACTTGTTTTTCCAGTGATAACACATTTGCCGTAGAAATAAAAGATTTTAAACAGTGCTTCATGCGCCTTAAATATAAAAGTTGCATTGAATAACAAAGATCATATAATGTACCAGAGGAAGTCGATTATTTTCTGCCTCAGAGAAAAAAGGCAAGCTTTTATTTGGGAAAGATTGAATTAGACCTACAATTGACCACATTGTAGCTTTAATACGTGCACTCACAGTAATCTCTCCATTGCTTGTTTCTCGCCATTTTCTTCCCTAAGATGTTCCAGGGAACTGTGATGCCAACCAAGTGGTGTAAAAAGAAGATCTTTGGACTTTTCTTCAACACGACGATTAAAGAGAGATTCTGGAGATGTAGAGAAATAATTTAAAACATATCTTCAAACTGCTTGGAAGGAAATATCAGAAATCAAGACCTTGATTATTTCTCTAGTGTATTTTAAATTCATCCAATATTTAACATCAACAAACCAATTAAATGGTCATTACATTGCTGCTGCTGGCTGTGGCAATATTAGCTACGTGTTCTACATTAAACGAGCACACTTCTAAGTACATTAATGGCTGTAGTATTTGGGATGTCTGGTGGTCATAACATTTTATATCAAGACTTTGGAATGCTTTAAAAGTGTTTAACAAATTGATTGTCTTCAAAAGCAGAGTCACTGCCAATCAGGTAAAACAACAGTAAACTGTGCACAGTAAAGTAAATCAAACAGCAAATGACCAGATAACCAATGTTTTTAAATGACGTTGATCTTTGATATACGAGAAGAGATTCTTTAAATGGAGTTCAAGATTGATTACATTCACTTAGAAAGAAGGCAGGAATGTCTTAACATTAAAAAAAAGGGCACTTTACTTGGTATTAACCAAAATTAATTCCAAAATTTTGGGATGAATTTAAACCTTCTGTCTCATGAGGTACGTAAATTGAATAGATCAAACTCCTACAAGCAAAAACAACCTTATTCAAGTCTTTCAGCTACTTAAGTTCATACTCACAATTATAAACCCCTTGAACAAATCATTGTTATTTGATTCCTTATAAGTGTTATACCCAAATGCTTACTTACCTTTAATAAAAGCATCACTTATGCCAATGACCTGTTGCACTCCATCTTCAGATACCAAGAACTCTGTCAAAGGATATAATTGACATGGGTTACCAAGCTGCAACACTAACAGCTGCACATTTGTCATCCATAGCATGCAAAACCACACACAAATATTTCTAGAATTGATATCAGCATTTTATTTTAATAATTTGTTTATAGTAGTGAAACAAGGGCAGTTTGTTAACACAAAACTAAAGTTTGAGTAGTTTTATTTTATAAAAAGGTACTGCCCCATTCACAAAATACTAAACCATTAGGTCTTAGCTATGTACCAAAAGGTCCTCTTTTAAAATGAAGGATTATGTGCAAATGTCAGCAACAACACAGACAGAGGAGACTAGACAAAACTTGATACTGCACAACAAGATGAGAGAAGACAAAGACCAAAATCATAGATCCATATTACTGAGCAAATTAGGGTGCCTTGCAACAATGACTTTAGCTTAGGGAGACTGAAATAAGGAGAACAATTGGTACTGCAATTGTAAGTGAATGTAGAAACTGCAGTTCAAATTGACAGGCCAAGAAAGGACAAAAAAAAAGACGAATACAAATAAGGACACAAAAGATCATAATCAGCATAGCAAATAGAAGATGACATTATTTGCAAAAAGTGCTTGGTTAGTCATATTTCAAAAGCCGGCTGCAAAGCATGTATAAAAATGATTACCATGCAGAAATCTGGTTTAAAAAATACAGCAATGATAATACTATTCTTTTCTAGAGGGACTAATGATAAAGCGGTGGGCCAGGAGGAGGCAGCAGTGAACAGGAGGAAAAATAATGAGGACTGTTTCATTGGCAAGCCAAGGTGCAAAGCCAGCCCGATCTTCACAGGCTTAAGGTTCACTCCTTCAATTAACATAAAAGTTTTGTTTAAAAAAAATTTTCTTCAAAGTAAATGCTGCAGTTCAAATTGCTAAACTAACCATAAAGGTGTGAGCCATTGCTTCACCTTCAGTTCAAATATAGTCTGTCGTGGGTATTATCTTCATCCAAAACATTGGAGTAAAGAACTAAACTTCATTCCTACCACTGTCTCTTTCACTGTGTTTCTTTCTCCCTTCCATACCTTTCTGATCTGCTGGATGTGTTGGGACATACGGGTACTTGGAATGTTTCTTGATATGAAAGTTGACATTGTCCAGTTCCACATTTAGGCTGATAGAAGCTGCAGAGTCGCTGTCCACGACTGACTGAAAGCTGCTTACTGATGTACGTTTGCTAGGGCTGGAAAAGCCTGTAAAAAATGATGATGACTGTGTTCGTGGAAATTCAAGCAAAGCACTTTCAGCTTATGACATGCAAATTGTGTAGCAAGCCATATTATGGCCTTTATTTAAAAAAACGTTTAACACCAAACCACTTGGCATTCAATTCCGAATCCATTTGCCATGATCCAATGTAGTCTGTATAGCAGTGGAGAGGAATCTATGGCAGAGGTGCCTAAAGTAGCAAGTGGTTAATTTGAGTGAAAGGTGATATCATATTTGCCCAAGGTATTTAGTAGCAATCCAAGATTGTTTCAAGTTGAAATGAAGCCATACTCACACCTGAAGTTAATCAATTGGCTTATACCTTAGACAAATTCCCATTTAGGTGACTGTGCATAGCTGACTGGTATGTTAAAGTTAATAACCTAGACCAAGGAGAGAATACCATAAAAGTGAGTAGTGAGAGGTCTCACTGATAGTGACATAAAAATCTGGTAAGTCTACATTTTGCCAATCTTCAAAAAGATTGCCCTTGTTATATAAAAATTATTTAACTTCTATAAGAGATTATGCAGTTGAAAATAAAACTAAAAATGTCTTATAATGTAAGCATCCACATTGCTCGTCCCCTTCTTTCCCATAGCTGTGGAGGCTTTTCTTCTCAATACTTTACACAGAGTTCATTCAACTTTTAATCAGTATACAATGTTTCAACCTCAACTTACTTTATCACACGTAGGACATAGCCGATATCACGTCTAATATTAGCCAGAAAACTGCATGCTATTATTAAAGCTATTTCACTTGACTAGTTCAGTTTAGTAGCTCTCCATACTTCAAAACACAAAAAAGCACTTTTATTTGTCCATGGAATGTGGACGTTGCTGGCTTGGCCAGTGTTTATTGCAGATCCACAGTAGCTCTAGAGAGGTGGTGAGCTGCATTCTTGAACCAGTGCAGTCCTTGCGGCATAGAGGCATCCACTGTATTGTTAGCAAACGAGTCTCAGGATTTTGACCCAGCAACAAAGAACCGAAATATAGTTCTGATTCACAACGATGCTGAACTTGGTGTGGAAATTCAAGACGTTGGTGTTTCAATGCACCTGCTGTCTTCATCTTGTAGGCGGTAGTGGTTGTGGGTTTGGAAAGTACTGTTGAAGCAGCCTTTGAATTACACCAGTGCACCCTGGTGATGGTACATGCTGCTGTCACTGTGTATCAGTAATGAAGGGAGTGAATGTTAAAGATTGTGGTTGGAATACCAATCAATCAAGCAAACTGGGCGATATTGAGGTTCTTGAGTTTTGTTAGCGCTACATTTATTTAAGTAAGTGGATAATATTCTATCACACTTCCGACTTCTGCCTTGGAAATGTAGGTGAGGAAATTGGGAGACAAGAAGGGAGTTACTTAACAGTATTTCTAACCTCTGAACTGTTCTTGTTGCTGCAGTATTTATATTGCTAGTCCAGTTCAGTTTCTGGTCAATGGTAACCACCAGGATGTTGATGGTGGGGAATATTCAGTGATGGTAATGCCACTGAATGTCAAGGGACAATAGTTAGGTTCGTTTACATTGGAGATGAGGTCATTATTTAGCACTTATTTGGCACAGATATTAATTGCTACTTATCTGTATGTTGTGCAGGTATTGCTGCATGTGGACATCATCTGGTTCAGTATCTGAGGATTTGCAAATGATGATGAATACTGCACAATCAGCAGTAAATATCCATAATTCTGACCTCATGATTGAAGAAGCAGCTGAAGATGGTTAGGTCTAGACCACTCCCCTGAGGAACTCCTGCAATGATGCCTTCCGAATGACCTCCAAAATCAACAGGGCAGAGCTTTCCCGATTCTGGGTCACCAGACCCGAAGAGTTAACTCCGATTTTCTCTTCACAGATGCTGCCAGACTTGCTGAGCTTTTCTAGCAACTTCTGTTTTTGTCCCATGGGCTCCAGTTTTGTTCAGGATCCTCAATTGAATGGTTCCTTGATGTCAATGGCAGTCACTGTCACCTCAGCTCTGGTGTTCAGATCTTCTGTCCATGTTTAGACTGAGGCTGTAATAGGATCAGCTGCCAAGACACCCCCAGAATACAAACTGAGCATCAGTGGGCAGGTTACTTGTTTGAAAGTGCCACTTACTAGCACTGTTGAAAATCCCTTCCATCAATTTACTAATGATCATGAGTAAACTCATAAAACAGATCTAACCTGCCCTGACTTTTGTGAACAAGACCCATAAGACAATTTTTTCTACATTACCAGATGTCAGCATTGTAGAGCACTGGAACAGCTTGGCTAGAGGTACAGTTAGTTCTGGAGCACAAGTCTTCACTCCTATTGCCAGACTGTTATCAGAGCCTTTAGCACTGCAGTATTCAGTTTAACGGTCCAGCAGAGTTGAAATTGCTTAGCCCTGTTTATTGTTTGCTGCTTTTACTGTTTGGTACCCATGTATTAGCGTTGTAGTTTCACCAGGTTGTCGTTTCATTTTTAATGACTAATTTTTAATGGTATTGGCATGCCCCTGCACTCTTCAGTGACTGCAAGGTTGACCATTTAGCTTGACGGTAATGGTAGAGTCATGGATATGCTGAACCATGAGGTTGCAGTTATGGCTGAATACAGTACCGCTGTCGCTGACAGCCCAGTGCCTCATAGATGCCTAGGTTTTCTTGCTACATTTATTCAAAGTCTCTCCTATTTAACAGTGGTTGTGCCACACAACATAATGGAGAGTATCCTCAATTTTGTCTCACAATGACCGCACAGTGGTCAGCCCTAATGATAGGATCAGTGACATAACTGCGATAGGTGGTTTGGAGAGGACCAGGTCAAGTAGGTTTCTTCCCCCTCACCACTTGCCACAAACCTATAACTCAAGAAGCTCGACATCCTCCAGAGCAAAGCAGCACACTGGATTGTTTGATCGTGATGCCATTCACTTGGCTTGTCACAGATGCTTGGTAGTGTGTACTACCTACAAGATGCATTGCAGAAATTCACCAAGGCTCCTTACACAGCACCTTCAAAACACACGACTACTTCCATCTAAAAGGCCAAGGGCAGAAGATATACGGGAAGATTACCATCCGCAAGTTCCTCTCCAAGCTACTCATATCTAGACTTGGAAATATTACACCACTCCTTCAGTGTTGCTGGGAAAAAACTTCAAACTCTTTCCCTAACAGCATTGTGAGTTCACATATAGTACACGGACTGGAGCACTTCAAGGGGGCAGCTCAACACCACATTCTCAAGGAAACTAGAGATAGGCAGTAAGCAGTGGCTAGCCAGCAATGCCCACATCTCACAAAAGAATAAAAAAAATTTTGCAGCTATGTCCTTTAGGACTTGACAAGTTCAGTCAATAATGGTGCTTCCAAGTCACTCTTGGTGATGGACATTGATGTCCCCGACCAGAGTACATGACATGCTATTACCACCCTCAGTGCTTTCTTCAACTGGTGTTCACCGTGGAAGAGTACTGATTCATCAGGGAAGCAGAACTCTCATTTGACCCGACACCATAAGATTTCATGGGGTCTAGCGTCAACATTGAGCACTTCCAGGGAAACTCCTCTCTGACTGTGTACCTCTGTGCCACCATCTCTGGTGGATCTTCCTAGCAGTGGGACAGGGCATACTAAGGAATGGCGATGGTGGTGTTTGGGACATAGCCTGACAGGTCAGGCTATTGCTTGACGAGTTATAAAGAACACCCATCTCAATCTTGGCACTGATCTTAGATGTTGGTAAGTGGGACTTTGTAGGATTGATGGGTGGTCCATCCAGTTTTATTCATTTTCATTAGCAAAGTGAGTGTGCAGAAAACCTACATGGTGGAAAATACAATAAGGGAAAAGGGCAGGGATAGTTTTAATTACAAAATTAAAAACTTGTAGTAATAGTCTCATCATATACATAAATGTTTCATAAATCCACAGTAAGGCAATTTAATCAAAGTTCTCACAACTATGACCACTAGAGATAAAATATGAATACATAATGTATAAAACAGTGCACATTCTCAATTTTGAGCAACCTCTCACTGCAAACAAAGCTTAAATTGCAAAAGTAGAAATAGAATGTAAGATTTACTAATTTCATGATACATTCTACGCTACATTTGAAATAAAGATTGCCTGCAGACTACAATAATCTTGTGACTGAAGGAGTGATTTGAACTCTTGGCTGCACTATAAACAGACCACGACAAGTGTGTGGATTATGATGGTGCTTAAAGTCATTTGTGCTTTTGATGTTCAAATATTTTAGTAAATAGAATATACCAATCAGCACACGAGACAAGGGAATCTTATTGATACTCTACAAATACAAAATTGGAAGTGGAAAAAATATACAACTAAAAAAACATAAGCACCACACACCAAAGTTAGAATTTAGTAATGAACAGCAAACATACATACAGACGTACAATGTTCAAGCACCAGAGAAGTCACAATTGGCAAATGATTTTAACTTTTAAAAACCTCCCACTTATTTATATCAATAGATGAACTTTTAAAACATTTTATGGAATGGAGTACATAAAAATATAAATGTTTCATTACCAACAGAACAAAATCAATGGACATTTATTCGGCCACAAATTCTCATAGGTACGCACCACTGATAAACATTTACAAAACTGTAGTTCTAACAGACCTCAACAAATCAGCTGTAGCATTTTTTTTGTTGTCTCTTGTTTTACTTTTTGACTTTCCTGACCCATGCACCTCTTGTAGGAAACAGCTTTAGGGACCTCCCTTCATCGAGAAGTGATCACAACGTACCTGGTGACAACCTTTGATCTTTCCGACTCCACCCAGGTGAGGAATTGCTTACCATCTTCTCAGCACCACACAGTAGCAGAACATGGAATTCCCATTTCTGCTATAATTCCAACACACTGTGCAGCTTCTCCCCACTCTAAGTTTTTCATGAGATTAGAAAGTAGACAGAGCCTGTAATAATTCACTCTCCTTTGTGATGCTGAAGTCTAATGAACTTACCTGTCAGATCCTTTGTTACTCATTGGAAGACCCTGTTCTCTTAAGAATCGTGAGGAAAAGTATAGCTTACTTAAAAAAAAAAGCCGTCACGCACAATGCTCTAATTAGATATATCTAGAAATACATAAGTTTGATATATTCCTCTCGTTCCAACCGTTCTATCGCAATAAACTAAACAGCTTAGTTTCAGTTTCTGTACAAATATTAGGTAAAGTCAGTTACAATGAATACTGCAGGAAAGTGACTGCAGATTAGGTATGGGTGGGGAGGCAGTTTATAGTGATGGAGGAACCTTAATCTTTAACTCTGATAAACAGATAATTACTACCAACTAGCTTTGTGGAGGAGAAAAAGAACAAGACGGGTCTCTGGGAAAACTGACCACAACACCATGATGCAGGAAAACAGCGGTGAGAGTTCTTTACTGGCCAATAGTCACATTTTTGCCAGATCATACAACAAAATACAACTAAAGTATGTATCAAAATACAAAGTAACAATCATGGGAGACTTCGACCCCCATACAGTTCGGTCAAATCAAATTGACAAAAGGTACTCTGGAAGAGGAGTTTATAGAATGCTTTTGCAACAGCTTTCTAGGATAATGTCAAAAGGAACCATTTTAAATCTTCCATTGTCCAATATGGCAGGGTTAATTTGCAATCTCAGTGAAGGAACCCCTGGGAAAGGTGTAATTGTAAAACAATTAAATTCCATATTAAATCAGAGTGATATGTTTGAGTCCAAAACAAGAATGATTAACTTAAACAAAGCCAATTATAAAAGGTATGAAATGAAAGCTGGCTAAACTTTATAAGGTAAACTAACTAAAAGCCTCTAAACAGTGAGATACTTTTCAAGGAATGATTCAAAATGTTCAACAAGAATATGCTTAATTAGAAAACAAAAATTCAGCAAAATTAGTGGATTGGGGGATTTTTAGAAAGCAACAAAAGGTGACCAAAAATTTGATTTTTAAGCAAAAAAAAATAAAAGACAGTAAACTAGCCAGGAACATAAATTCCAAGCGCTTCGACAAATATGCACACGGAAGAGAAGCGACTCAATTAAATTAATCTTTCAGAGACAGAGACAGGATAATTAGGTAAATGAGGAAATGGCAGAGAAGCTGAACAAACATTCACGTCTTCTCAGCAAAAGACCAAAACAACATACCAGAAATTCAGGGTAACCAAGAAACTAATCAGCATGACTAACTTAAAAGTAATTAATATCAGAACAGCAAGAGTACTAGAAAAATTTAAAGCACTAAAATCCAATAAATTCCCAGGCACTGATGGCCTACATCATAACATATTAAAATAGATTGTTACAAAGATGGAGGATGCACAAGATATAATTTTCTAAAATTTTGTAGATTCTAGAACAGTCCCAGCAGATTGAAAGTTACCAAATATAACAATTTGTTTAAGGAGGAGCAAAGAAAACAGGGAATGATTGGCCTGTTAGTACGAACAGCAGAGCAGGCTCAGGATTGTAGGCTGCTAGGTTGACTGATAAGAAACTCATTCTAGTTGCTGTAATTGGAGTGTGATAGAAAAGGTTATTATAGTTGATGAGTTCATAAAAATGTGCTTCGCCAATTTCTCAGATATTGAACCAGCTCAAGTGTGTTCCAATTATTTACTGAATAAAACCTAAAGTCCCTCTGCTTTTTCCCTTCATTTGAGGGGAAAAAATTCAGCAAGAGCTACTTATATGTTAAAAAAAATTGCTGTCTGTACGCTTTAAATTAATTGTTCTCTATTTAGGCAACACAAATACCCTGCTGCTGTTTGTAGGTACCCCTGTAAGAAGATCTGCCATCATGGTATGCCATGTTTATCTGTCTTGCCCACTGTAGTGTGTCTACGACTATTCTTTGATGTCTATCCTTAAACTACACAGACCAATCCCACTTTTGTTCCCTTCTACTTTGCTCTCCAGAGTAGACCTCTGAACCACTGGCCAAAATACTGAAATTCCAAAAAGAATTATTATTAAAATACAAGCTGTCACTTCTTTTCACCTCAGTGTTAAGAATTAACCTCACCTCCTGCATCTTAAAAATGTGACTTACTTTGCATGATTTCTTCTCCATCATCCTGCATCTGCTCAGTATCACTGTCATCAAACTTGATGTCCTTAAACCATGACGGTTCAGAATTGCCTTCCACCGAATTCATTGAATCACTGTCTGGAGACGGTGTCTCAGAAAACTCTGTACTCTGCAATGTAGACATTGGTTCTTAAAACCAAAATGGAAGACAAAGTGTTCTTCCTGTACAAAAAAAATCTTGCTACTTGGTACGACAGACTTGAATGAGATTATTTGAAGCAGGTTGTTTATAACTGGTACTCTTCTATCTTAAAATACTGCATTTAACATAGACTAACTTTAATCAGCATGAAATACGAACATATAGGGGAAAAATACTTCCTGTTAGTCAATAACTTCCTTAGATACCACTTTCATTTCTCGAATTTCTTTGTTGTTAATACCCAGGGAACGTTGACATTTAGTACCTCCAGGTACACATTATCAGAATGTGGTAGAAAATAATATTTTTCCTTGCCTCAGAAAAGAACACAAAATATACACATCATGCAGCAAATCAATTGACAAATCAGAGAAATCAATCAAAAGGGACATCGTCAACTGGAATCCTACGCAAGATGAAAGGCGACTGTCATACGAGTAGAGAAACGTTTAACGCGCTAAGATACACCATCATCTCACTATCCTGATCATGACTTTTCTCCCAAAACCCCAAGAGCGGGTCACCACTGGCCTTCCTTTCTCTGCCAGGTGCACACAAGTGGGGCCTTTTGCACAGGGGTCAAGTCCGAAGAGGATTTTGCATCTGATTGCCTCTCAATTCTCTTCCAGAACCACCATGTGAAAGGAAATCCTAGGATGTAGAAGGTTCAGAGCCTTCTGACCAAAGACAATGTGTCTTGTATCAGCATCCTCTCCAAGTCTGGCCCAATATATCCCTGGCCAAGCCTTCAGTATTAGAGTTTGGATGTCACCCTTGGAGAGCATCTGCCTTTAAAAGGTTCCTCACTAAATCTACTGTACCACCAGGATTTTATTGTTTAGCACTGGCAGGTTACTTTTGGCTGCAGGAAGCAAACCTGGGGATCAATATAGTCATACACCATGGAAATAGACCCTTCAATCCAACTAGTTCACGCTATGTTCACAAACTAAACTCGTCCCACTTGCCTGCGTTGGTCCATATCCCTCCAAACCTTTCCTATTCATGTACTTATCCAAATGTCTTTTTATGTTGTAACTGTACCTACATCCACCACTTCCTCTGGCAGTTCATCCCACACAAACCACTCTGTATAAGAAAATTTGTTCATGTCCTTTTTAAAAACTTCCTCCTCTGACCTTAAAAACGTGCTCACTTCTTTTGAACTCTCCCAACGCTAGAGAAAACACCCTTGCTATTCACCTTATCTGTGCACCTCATGAATGTTTATAAACCAGTATAAAGGTCACCCCTTAACCTCCTACACGCTAGTGAAAAAGTCCCAGCCTATTCTTATAACTCAACTCTCCATTCCCAGCAACATTCTGGTAAATCTTTCTTAACCCTCTCTAATTTAATAATATCCTTCCTATAGCAGGGCAATCAGAGCTGCACACAGTACTCCAGAAAAGGTCTCACCAACATTCTGTGACAGCATAAACACTGAATATGGAAAATTGGTTGGTGTTGGGACAGAGTTGGTAGTAAAGGCAGCCAAATCCTGCTTCAGTAGTATTCCATGCTGAAAATTAAACTTACAGTCTACTGTCTTTTCTGGACTGTTATTTAAGTTGGCTTCACCTGCTTTTCAAGTTAAATATTTTAACATTTAAGTTTACAATGCACAAAATGATAGCAGAGACATTACTGGATAAGAATATGCTTTCCAGGTTTATACGAAACTTTAATATTTGGGAAACAACCATCTGATAGTGAAAACAAATTAACTTTGTTTTTAATTTTAAAGAAAATGCTATTGACAAAGTTGAATGCAGCCTACACTTGGGTTCAGTAGAGGTTTGTGCTGAAGCCAGAAACACAATAGTTTGTTCCTCTTTTCTCTCTGACATTGTTTAAACCATTTGAAATGTTTTCTCATTTTAGGAAGTTGAAGACACAACCATCAACGGTGAAGTAATTAATGATTAGGAATATACAACTGATCAGACTAGGATTAGAGGAGTGCAAATGTTTTAAGATCTAAGACATAGGTGCAGAATTTGGCCATTTGGCTCATCGGATCTACTCTGCCATTCCATAATGACTACTATGTTTCTCAACCTCATTCTCCTGACTTCTCCCCATGACCCTGGATGCCCTTACCAATTAAGAGTCTACCCATCTCTGTCTTAAAACACACTCAATGACTCGGCCTCCAGAGTTCTTTGTGGCAATGAGTTCCACAGATTAACCACTCACTGGCTGAAGAAATTCCTTCCCATCTCAGTTCTAAATGGTCGTCCCTTCACTCTGATACAGTGCCCTCTGGTCCTAGTCTCTCTTACTAATGCAAACATCTTCTCCATATCCACTCTATCTAGGCGCCTCAGTATTCTGTACATTTCAATGAGATCCGCCCTCGTTCTCCTGAACTCCATTGAGTACAGGTAGTTCTCCCATAATGTGATAGTTGCGTTCTTGTGTGACCTTGTGCTATAGAAAAATCACCACCAAATATCGTGTTATAGGAAAGTCACTATACCTGTACAGCAGAAAGCTCACGTTATCCAAACAGCATCCTCTATTTATCAATTGCGTTACAGCCAATCCGCGTTAATGAAACATACGTTATAGCAGAACTACGTCTACAGATCAAAAGTCCTCAACTTCTCCTCACATGACAAGTCCTTCATTCCTGGGATGATTCTTGTAAAACCCCTTCCAGACGCCCTTCAATGTCAGAACATCTTTCCTTTGATACAGGGACCAAAATTGTTCATAATATTCCAAATGCAGTCTGAGCAGAGCCTTATTCAGCCTCAGCAGTATATTTCTGCTCGTATATTCTAGCCTGCTTGAAATGAATGCTAACATTGCATTTGCCTTCCTACCTGCCAATTGAACCTGCATGAGAATCCTGAATGAAGATTCCCAAGTCCCTTTGTGCTTCAGACTTCTGAAGCTTTTCCCCATTTAGAAAATAGTCTACTCTTCGATTCTTCCTACCAAAGTGCATAACCTCACACGTTGTATTACATCTGCCATTTCTCCACCCACTCTCCTAGCCTGTCCAAGTCCTTCTGTAGTTTCCCTGCTTCCTCAACACTACTTGACCCTCCAGCTATTTTTGTGTCATCTGCAAACTCAGCAACAATGCCCTCAGTTCCTTCATCCAGATTGTTAATTTACAACATCAATAGTTGTAGTCTCAACATGGACCCCTGCGGAACTCCACTAATCACTGGCTGCTATTCTGAAAAAGACCACTTTTATCCCTACTCGCTGTCTTCTGCCAGTCAGCCAATCCTCTATCCGTACGAGTACCTTGCCCCTAAAAGAGCCTCATGGGCTCTTTAGCAGCCTCCTATGCAGCACCTTGCCAAAGGCCTTCTGGAAATCTAAATATATTATGTCCATTGGTTCTCCTTTAAATAATTTGCTTGTTACCACATCAAATAATTTTAACAGATTTTTCAGGTATGACCTCCCGTTGACAAAGTCATCCTGATTCAGCCCTATTTACCAGGAACTTCCAAAAGCTCTTCAGTCTCATGCTTAATAATGGACTCTAAAATTTTACCAATGACTGAGGTGAGGCTAACCAGCCTACAGTTTCTTGTATTCTGCCTTGCTCCCTTCTTAAATAGGGGTATTACATTAGCTATTGTCTAGTCCTCTGGCAACTTCCCTGACTCCAGTGATTCCCGAAAGAATGCTTTGACAATCTCCTCAGCTATCTCCTTCAGAACTCTGAGGTGTAGTCCATTTGGTCTGGACCATTTATCCACCTTCAGACCTTTCACCTTCCCCTTAGCGATAGCCACTGCTCTCACCTCTTCCCCTGACTCAAAGCTCTGATATGCTGATGTTTTCCAGCATGAAAACTGATGTTAAGTACCTAGTCAGTTCTTCCGCCACTTCTTTGTTCCCCATTACAGCTTCTGTAGCCTCATTTTCCAGTAGTCCAATGTCCACTCTTGCCTCTTGCTTATCATTTAGATATCTAAAAACTGTTGCAATCTTCTTTTATATTACTAGCTAACCTGCTGTCACATGTAATCTCCCTCCTTATTTTTGGTGCGGACTCAATGGGCCTTTTCTGCAGCTGTATGAATCTATTGTTTTTTTTTAAAAACAAATATCCTCTGCTGGTTTCTCTCATGCTTCCAAATCCTCTAGATTTCCATTAATCTCTACCACATCGTATACCTTTTCTCTTGCTTTTATGCTGTCCCTGACTTTCCTCATCAGTCACAGTTGCCTTGTCCTTCCTTTCATCTATTTACAATGAATTTCTGCTGTGCCTCCCAAATTAACCCCAGAAACTCCAGCATTTGCTGCTCCACCTTCTTCCCTGCTATGTTCCCCCCTTCCAATCAACTCTGGCCAGCTCCTCACTCATGTTTTTGTAGTTACCTTTACTCAATTGCAATATGATTACATCTGATTCCAGCTCAAACGACAAGGTGAATTCGGTCACATATTATGGTCGCTGGCCCCTAGGGGCTCCTTCACCTTAAACTCCCAAATCAATTCTGCCTCATTATACATCACCAAATCCAAAACTGCCAGCTTCCTAGGAAGCTCTACCACATGTTACTCCAAACAAAAACCCATCACAGTGACATTCCACAAATTCCTTTTCTTGACATCTGCTACCAACCTGATTTTCCCAGTCCACCTGTATATTGAAGGGTCCCATGATTACTGCAGCGGTGCCTTTCTTATCTCCTGATTTATTTCCTTCCCCATATCCGCACCAATGTTAGGATACCTAAATGCAACTCCTATCAGGGTCTTGTTTTCCTTTGTGGCTCCTCAAATCTACCTGCATAGAGCGTACACTTTCTGACTCGATAATACTTCTTGCTATTGATTTCATTTCATTTTTGGAAGGTTATGGGGTTGGAGGAAATTACAGGAGATTAGAAGAAGCAAGGCTATATTACAGATTTGAAAACAAGGATAAAAATTTTAAAATTAAGACATTGCTTGACAGGGAGCTAATACGGGTCAGCGAGCGCAAGGCTGATAGGGTAAAATGGGCCTTGCTGCGAGTTAACTCTCAGGAAGCAGAGTTTTGGATGACCTTAAAATTAGGGAGGGCAGAATGTGGGAAGCCAGCCAGGAATGTGTTAAGATATTCTAGTTTAGAGATAACAACAGCCTGAAAGAGAGTTTCTTTATTCCTTTCCAAATGTGGCATCACTGACGAGATCTCTCTCTAATTTTCCTTGTGTGGAATGGCTTGCTAGGTCATTTAGAAGGTGGACTGTTACAAAAACTTTTAAAGCTGGATGCCATCAGTGCACATGCAAAAGCTAACAAAATGGGGGGTGGGGGGGAGGAACAGGTAAGGAGCAAACAGGGCAGCACGGTGACTCAGTGGTTAGCACTGCTGCCTCATAGCACCAGGGACCCGGGTTCAATTCCAGCCTCAGGCAACTATCCATGCAGTGTTTGCACATTCTCCTCGCATATGCCTGGGTTTCCTCCAGGGGCTCTGGTTTTCTCCTGCAATCCAAAGATGTGCAGGTTAGGTGTATTGGTGATGGGAAGTGCAGAGCTACAGGGTTAGCGGGGGGATGTTCTGCCAGAGGGTTGCTGCGGACTCAGTAGCCAAAAGGCCAGCTTCCACGATTCCTTGGAGGACATCATAGATAACTATGATCAGATAGAGTTGGAAATAGATTAGGGAGTGACCATGCATTCAAAGATTTTAAAAGTTGAGTCAATTAAATGATTAGCTATATTATGCATAAAACCTTCAAGTACATTTGATAACTGTCTCACCAGAAACTGGCGAAGCTGAAACATGCAAGTGCTACGTTCACTTACTTGCAAAGGCCTATACAAGGCATATTCATCCCTGAAGAGCTGATCATGATGAGTTACACAGTCAAACCATCGTCCATCCACTAATGCCTGACCAATGGCAATTGCCTGAGCTCTAAAAAGAGGAGAAGTGGATGAAGTAGATGATCTGGTCACATTCAAATTCACACAAAAAAAAAAACTTCCAAAGTACTGCACAGTAGTGGGCACGTTTGTACTCAAAATCCCAAGACACCAAGGTAAATTCATTTTCACGCATGATCAATTCAGAGAAAAGTCACCTCTGTAAAGATATTTGCTAAAGAGCCTATTCTGAGATGTTGTTACACACCCCTGGAGCAGGAAGAACTTGAACCAAGGCTTCCTAATTCAGAGGTAGGGCCACTACCACTGCACCACAAGAACCCCATTCGATCCCTAAAGGTATTTTTAATCAACTTCTGGAGCAGGTGGGACATGAACCCGGGCCTCCTGGATCCAGCCACTGTGCCACAAGAGCCCTTAAACACTCCTGTGAAGTTTGTTTCAACTTTCCCTTGCAGTACTTGTTGTTTATCAGTCTTGTGCCAGTATTTTGCCTTAGATGGTGTTGACCATATGCTTTGGGCTGTATTCACAGGCAACCCAACTCCGAGAAGACTCAATCCCGACGAGATGGGTTTAATTTAGGCTGAGTAGTAATGACTTAAAATAATACATGACTAGGAGCACGAAGTAGGGAAACTTTAGCTTTATGAAAAGTACATATTGCCGGAACTGCAAACTGCTTTTCCCTAGTTTGAGAAGTCACGTAGGATAGATAGCAAAAAGCTAGGGTTTGCAGCATCTGTACTCTTATCTTCACTGCATTCCGCTTCAATTAATGTAAGTGCGGTTGCCTAAGTAACAACCTTGCCTTGCTAAAACAAAGTACAATTGCAGTTTGTTTTAACTTGTTTGTACCACTGTATAAATTCTGCTTCTTTTTTGTACTTGGAGTCTTCGGACCTGACTTTTTGTCAGCGTTGACTCTCCGTGACATCACGAATAAAATCTCTTTGCCTCAAAGTCTGGGTCTTTTGTGTGTGATTTAATCTAGTCTCTTCGAATCCCTCAAGCCTGCTCCACGATTTGATAAAATCAAGGCTGATCCGATTGCCTTCAGTTCACTATTTTATTAGGCATGATGTATTGCTGCGCATTCACTTCTGTTAATTTTTAATAGGGTTTTCTATCAATTTATGTTTTCAGTTCCAATTGTTCCCTTGCCATCAATATCCTCCATTTAATCATTTTTCCTCCTTGATAAAGATGCCATGACTGGAAGCCCTTAGATGGACAGTGCTTTAGGACATTTTCTTCTGAAAAGGAGGAAACAAGGAAAAGTAAAGATTACAATTGCAAAACAACAGCTAAAATTTTTTAGTAATTAATAACCCAGTCACTATCAGAAACTGCTTTGTTAAACATGCTATTTAATGTTGATAATTTGACCTTTGAGATGTCAGCAGAGCTTGAAATTGACCTTGCATTCACATTAATTGCTCATTTCCTTACTGGCTGATTTACATGTATGAGAGTTGCACTTCAGAATGTCTCAATTTCAACTATGAAGATTACCGTGTAGTAATATGTCCATTTCTAATCAACCAGTTCACCAGTTCCTTTCCTACAATGCAATTAGGATAAGTTCGCAACCAGTATCGATGATCCTGAAACTCCATGCCAGTGCTGTGATGGCAAATTTTCTTCCACAGGTCTTTGAGTTGCACAGAGTCCTAGAACAGAAATTAGAATTCAAGATGAATTTTGGAAAAAGACAAAAATATTTGAAATTTAATTTCATGTCAGAGTGGATTATGTATATCCATTGAAAAAAGAAAAAATATCTAACATTTTTCATGAGCACCAGATATCTGCAAGTACCTCATTCAATAAAATACTTTTGAAGGGTCACTAATGTTGTAACAGAAATCAATCTGCACACAGCAAGTTTCAAAAAACTTACTGTTTTTTGTGACACTGATTGAGGGATAATTATTGGCCATGGCATGTTTTACATCCACCTACAAAGGTAGGCTAATCCTTAGTTTAATGTTTCATCCAAAAGAAAGCATTCCTGACAGTGTAGCGCTGCCTAAGTTCTGTAAAGAAGTGTCAAGTGTGATTGGCATGCCCAAGACCCAAGGCTAGATGTTAGGCGCCTCAGCCAGATATTTTCTGGACATGACAGCATATAAAATAGGTTAGATACTTAGCCCACCACATTTCCATGCACCCCTGATCTGGCCTCTTCATAAGATGGGTGTGAAAATTAGCAGTACACCCACCATATGCAAATAATTGTTGAGATCAATTGGCTCGATAATACATTGTCAATCCCAAACTACAGCTGGCATGGGCAGCCAGACAGGAGGAAGGAAGCTATTTATCTCATGGCCAGCATAAACAAAGTTAGCATGGGGTGGGTGTACCTCATCTGGGGTTGCTGTGTGCATATTCCTCCTAAAATACTACTCCATTCTTCCTTTCGTGCCACCTGCTTGGCAGAAACTGGCCACCTAACCTCCATCCTTTGTCTCTAGGATCCCTCCCCACTATAAAATACTGGCACCTACCTTCTAAACGGCAGTCATAACCTAATTCTCAGGCCTCTTTCTGCAGTCACTGCCAGGGAAGATGGAGCCGTCTGTCCATCAGATTGGTTGCCAACTCCTAAGGCCAGGATTAACTCTTTGAAGTGAGGGCAGAGGATTCTTTTTAGTTTTCTGGCTCACCATTGACTTTCCCTTTGAACAGTCTGCAACCCTGAATTTTCTGCACCTGGAGTTGGATCTGAACTCACTGAGAATCAAGATTGCTAAGAACCGAGCTATGGGCTGACATACAAAATCATTGTCAAACAAACCAAGTTAATTAAAATTTTGGACTGCAGAACACAATAAATAGTGCTCAATAATCGTCCAGTTTTGAGACTGATGTGAAGGGATGTTATTGACAGAAATCAATATGAAACACATGATAAAGTAACACAATTACATTTGAGCGTATCGGGGATGAAACCAAGTAAAATCATGTACCACAGCAATTTGCATTATACTACTGCACAGACGCAACATTTTGCCTGTCACATCTTGTCTAACTTCCAGAAACCACTAAGATAAGTACCAGAAGAATTTTTCTTTCATCTTCATTGGGGTCAGTTTTAACATATGCCCGAGAAGCTTGAGGGCTGATCGAGCTGTCATATGAAGGAACCATGGGTGAAGCTGACCGGTCCAAAGAAAGATTGGTGATGCTTACAGACCTGTTATGCAGAGGAGAGTAAAATCAACATAAACAAAACAGCTAAGGCTGGTAAATATATCCATCACGGTTAAACTATATAGACCTGAGCCAATAACAGAGATACCTAACATCCTTACTAGATTTGATAACATGTTGCTTTTTGCAACTATCTTTTTCCCTCAAGTATCAGTTTTGAAGCAACTTTAATCCATTGAAGCAAGCCGTCAGGATACTTCATGTAATAATACATTCAAGAATATGGGGTGGGTCTTTTGATCAAGATAAAGCAACTATATTGAAAACATCAAAAAGCAAATTCCTTTAGCACGACATGAAACCAGTAATATTTGAACAAGTACTGGGGTTTTTCCAAAGAAGTCGTTTCACCGAATAGGAAAGCAAACTAACATTTTTGAGATAGCATAAGACAAAGAGATCTTAAATGTTTTCTAATCAATTACTTTATCTTAAGGGGCAAGAATATAAAATATAAAAGACGTAAAAGACAAGGTAGCTATACATTCCAAAATATGTTGCAAAGACTACTCATTCTGTGCAGAACAAAGATTTTAGTTTGCAAACTTCATCCTTGTAAAACAAGTTTAACACATCGTATAGTTTTGTACTATGAGTTTAAACGAACAATAATTAAGGTCAAGCCTATTATTGCAGGTGAAGTCCTATTGAATTGATCAGAACCTGTAGATCATTCCCCAATGAAAACCAAGTCCTTTTTTTTTATTAAGTGTGGGGTTAGATAGCTCAGTTGGCTGGATGGCTGGTTTGCAATGCAGAGTTTGTTCAACACTTTAGGTTCAATTCTTACACTGGCTGAGGTCACAATGAAGGCTTTGCCTTCTCATTCTCACAACTTGCCTGAAGTGTGGTGATCTCCAGGTTAAATTCACCACCTGTCATTGCCCTCTAGTGAGAGAGCAGCCTATGGACCTCTGGGATTATGGCAAATTTCACTTTCAGAATTAAAAGGGTCACAACATGCAAAGGCTTAAACACTTGTGAAGTAGCAAATTCAAGAGCTGTTTTTTACTGCTATCACAGGAGGCATCTTGCACATCAGCTGAGAGGGCAAATTCTGCCTTAAAGAGCTCAAGTGCAAAGCAGGCAGAAGACCCTTACACTAAAATGCTGTAGGAAAATAGTAATAGAAAAATGCAACATGTAGGCTTTCAAATCTTCAAATTCAGAATGGTCATTGCTACTTTGAACTGAGTGGGTTGGTACACAGTTCAAGTAAATGGTCAAACCAGTTAAACAAGATGTATATTTATCAATATGGTTTCAAAAACCCTGGCTCACGTGAAGTCATCACCATATTAAAAAAAGTCAAGAAAAACCTGTAATTCGTTTAATCAAAAAGGAAGAAAGTTCATACAGAATTCTGTGTAATATATCATAGCAATGTGAAATATGAATTAAGGCTTAAAAAAAAAGGGGAGAAACAGACGTCTAAGTAGATACAAAATGTGACAATTAAATAGTTAGAAACAGGAGAACAGTTCATACTAAAATGTTTTGATCTTTCCATCCATCTTGCTGTACCTTCTTTATTCTTCAAACAAAAACTTGAACAGAACTGATTATTCAATGTTAATTTAATACTAAAAATAGTACATTTCTTTATTGATCATACAATTTCATTAATGCAAGACTAGCATATTTGTCACATTTTCAAAATGTTTAAAACATTTATAATGATTGAAAAATATAGAATACTGATTTTTTTTAAAGAAGTTCCCTAATCAATAATAGAAAAATTAACATTGCCGCTTCATTTCTATGTTTGTTCCTCCAAAAATTGACTTGTTAACTATATGTCAAAAATGTTTCTGATGAGACAAAATCCCTAACATTTAAACTTTGAGGCTTTAAATGCTTCAATTATTGTTCTGGTTTTCTTTTTTCATACGAACACCTTTGTGATTTCAAAAAAAAAGTTCACATACAATGTAAAGAATGACGGCAAAAATGAACAGAGTATTCCTTTTAAACAAACCTTTTTCGTGCAGGTGACTTTCCTACATCCTCCTGCACAGTTGGGAGACGTGTTGTCAAATTACTCTGAGAATCCTGGTGACCCAAGCTGATTGAAAGAAAAAGATAACATCATCAATTCCAAAATTAAATGTTGGCTGTCCTAGCTTAACAACTAAGTTAAAATTTAACAAGTGCATCACATGTGCCTGAATGATCAAAAACAGCAGGTCCTAAAGCACTGCACTCATTCCATAACGGTTTCAAATTCCACTGATGTCTCCAGCGAAATTTTCGATATTAAATAGCACATTATCACAAACAGTAATTTACTTTTGTTATCAAACTATTATAAGATCCATTTGAAAAAGAGTATAATAATGACTGGCGTATCAATTACTGAAAAATCTTAGCTGCTGTTTCGTAATTGCAATTTTTTCCTCTTTCTTGATCCCTCCTTTCAGAAGAAATTGCTAATGTACTATCCAAAGATCTTCTAGTCATGGCATCTTGATATTTCTTTTCCTTGTCCCTTGGGTGTGGGTTTCGCTAGCCCATCACAAATGGACTTTAAACTTAGTAGCTTGCTACACCATTTCAGAGAGCAGAGGGCAGTGGACAGTCAAGCAGATGGATTACAGAGTCACATGTGGGCTAGACAGGGCAAGGATGGCAAATTTCCTTCCTGAAAGGGAATCAGTGAATCAGTTGGGAATAACTCAAGTGAAAGGAAATCCTATTGAAAAGGATTTAAAATGTCTGCACAGCAATGTATGCCGTCAAAAATAAGGCAATTGTAGCTATCGCATCATGTGGAACTATATACTCTAGGGATTATGGAGACATGCTACAGAAAATTCAGGACTGGGAATTACAATTTACGTAAGATATTTAGAAAAAAAAAGAAGGGGTGAAGGTATAGTGATGTAACTGCACTTAGAAGGGATAACTCAACGGCAGTAGATAAAATATGACACTGTTATCAGCAAGACCAAAGCAGAATCTTAGAACACTAAGATAACAAGGAATCAGATCAATTGGAATAGTTTATATACTGCATAATAGTGGAGAGGGTGTGGTAAATGAGGAAATATGCACTTTGGAAAATTGAGCAAAAGGTATCGAGTAATCAAGGATTTCAATTACCCTAATATTAATTGCATAGAGGACGCAGGCAAAGGGGATAAAAGGATACAATGTGTATAGAACTCCTTTGTAACCCAATATGTGTAAAGGCCAACAAAAGAAGATTTGCTTTTGGTTCATTCCTCATTTTGAGATCCAAAGTACAAAAGTAAAAGATGGAGAACATTAGGAAATAGTGGTCTTAATACAATCTGCTTTAAGATGATAAATAGAGACAAACCAATGATGGAAACAACAGGAACACGTTTATGGAACAGATTCCAGAGTCTCAGACTTTTGGGAAATAAATGGGCAATGAAGAGAGGCTGAATAGACTATTCCTGCTTCTAATTCCAATGTTTGTATTTATTTGCAAATAACAACGTAGAGCAACAATGGATACAACTAAAAGCTATGTTCAAAAGAATGCAGGAAAAACACATTCTGCTAAATGAAAAGCAGAAATTAACCATTAGTAATTGGGTGAATGAACAATTGAGGTTTAGGAGGGTGGCTGGTGCAGGATTTTTGGTGAGGTGGCGACCTAGCCTGACAGCAGAGCCAGGCACTCCTGGTTGTGGTAGGCCCAGAGCAGGACTCCTGGTCATCAGCGAGGCAGTGACAACGGCTCCTAGTTGTAGTAGGCCCGGAGCCAGGAACACCTGATTATCAGCGAGGCGGTGGTGGCAGCAGCAGCAGAGTCAGGGGGGCTCCTGGTTGCGGGTCCAGCATGGGACCTGGCATTGGTACCCTGTCAGCAAGGTGGGCCCAATGATCAAGAGATGGCACCTGAAGAATAGTAACTTCATCATTGGGGTGGCTCAGCAGTTGTCCTTCGTCAGCCAGCTTATGGCTCGCGATGGAGGTGGCAGAACAAAGATGGACATTCTTTCAGCTATATTCTTTTATTCTTAAACTATTTAAAATAGCACCAGATTATGGTGACAGTTGAAGCTTTTCACTATTTTACTGTGTTGACCATTCTAGAGTACAAGTGACGAATCATTCAATCACATTTCCCCAACACCATTTCCTTACAAATACCCAATTTCCTTTGGTTTCTCTCACTCGACCCTGTATTCCCCAGACATTTTGGGCATTTGAGTCCTTTGAGAAAACAGACCAAAATATGTATTGAATTGGTCAGTCATCTCTTTGCTCCCTATGAAACTTCCCCTGCTTGTTTCTGACTGACTTACATTTTTCTTAACTTATCATTTTTATTCTCACAGACCTTTAGAAGCTTTTCCAACCGATTTGTACATTTTACTCAGTATTCCAATAACCAAGTCATTCGTGTACATCATGAAAAAGCAATCCAAGCACTGTTCCTTGTGGAAAATGACTTAAATCTGAAGTACACCTTTCCTTAGTCCAAACTTTATTTTTAAAATCAAAGCAGACATTGATCCTCCTAGTCCAGGAGCTTCAACTTTGTTAATCAGTCTTTTAAGTGATATTCATCAAAAGCTTTCTTGCAATCTATACAGACAACCACTGTATTCCTTTCATTAGCCTTATATGTAACTCAAGTAAAAGCCCAACTCTATTGTGTTTGATCGATCTTCCTTCCACAAATCTGCGCTCGCTTATGTTCATTAACTCAAACTTTTCAAGTTTCGCAATTTTTTCTCCAAAATCTTAGTCACCACAAAAGTGACCTTTACCCATTCAGCTATTCATAAAGCCTTAGACTAAGTAACAAAAAAGTGAGAAATCATGAGTTTGTGATCCTATTATTAGCTTTCTTAAAATTAAAATATGGGAATCATCGCTGCGGTGGCAACCCTATTATAGTGCCTGGCAGGGCAGCAATGTCATCAGCAAAGCTCAAATCTATAAATGGACAGCCATTGGTTCATTTAATCCCAGAAAGCCCTTTGTCGAGTTCCTTAATACCCACTCAATGGTGGCAACAAACAGAAGAAGATGAGAAAGGATGCAACTTTGCCTGATGTCACTCAGAACATGGAACCAGTCACTAACATCCTGCGTTTTTACACAGCATTTGAAATTCTCACAGACCTTCCCAAGAGCTGCAATCATCCTCGGTGGGATGTGAAAAGTTTAGAGTGAAGACTGATGTAGGAAATCCAAGGCTTTAGTGAAATCAATTAAACTAACTGCAAAGGATCCTGATATTCTGGGTAGTTCCAAACAATCCACATAGTGCAAAAATCTGCTCAGAGTGAAGGCACTTTGGTCCAAATTGGGCATACTCTAATTTTCACCATCCACTGTGCTGTGAATAAGGTCAAGGATCAAAGCAGCACACTTTAAATTGATATTGATAAGACAGTGACTGCCTTCCAATACTGATGAGAGTCGATGGTCTGAAATTATTAAACTCAAATAATGAACGCTGAAGGTTCTGATGTTCTTAAACGGAAAACCAAGTACTGTTCCAGAAGCTCATTTTGAGCTTCACTGAAACACTGCAACAGGCCTTGGAGAGACCCTCTTGCACAGGAGCCAGATGGTGTATTGAAATGGCAAGTGACTGGAAGTTCAGAGTCATGCTTATGGCTGCAGTGCAAATGTTCTACAAACCAGCTACCCAGTCTATGTTTGGTCTCCACATCATACAGACTGCATTCTGAGCAGCAGACACTTACAATGAGGTTGCCTTTTTTGCAGATACAGATGAGTGACCACAACATCAGTGCCCAGACCTGGTTACAAAGTATACATAGTCACCGAACAGTTGCTGCTCTGCCCGTCTTTAGCATTTCAGGACATTTGTTGTTCTTGAGCGAAGTACCGGTCTTTGTCATCTCAATTTCACTAAGTCTTTCTACATTTATTGGAAGCTCAGTTGTGAGCTTATTGACTTGGGCTGAATTGGCCAGAGTAGATTTATTAAAGGCTTCCTCAAAGTGTTCTGCCAACAATAATTTTGTCTCCAGCTTTCAAGAAGAGTGTACCATCTTGACAGTAATTAATCCCAACCTTATTTTTAAGTTCCCTGCAACGTTCTTTCTAATTTGAAACAGTGATCGGAGGTCATTGCAAGCAGCTGGGCCTTCTGATTCCTGTGCTTGTTTGTTGATCCATTTTCTCATGTCTTTTTCAGCACTCCTTTTCACCTCCCTTTAATTATAAGCCTGATAAAAGGCATTGCTTCCAGTTTTGCTTTTCTTGAAGTACCTTCATTTCTACTATTAAAGGTCCATATTTGGTCAGTGACCCAGGCTTCATTCAGAGACGCTTGATATCCAGACATCTTTTAGCCCTGCTACTTTTAATTCCTCCCACCTGCACATCACATCTAGGTAAGCTGAAAATCATCTTTAGTTTCAAATGACATTGACCTGCTGATATCAAATCTGTTCAAAGTCTTTGATTCTTTCACCACTTCAGCTTGGTCTTGATCTTTACTATTATGAAATGGCAATCACTAAACAAGTTTATTCCTTTCTACACTTTAATACTCTGCAAACAAGCAGTTCTCCAACTTGGTCCCATAGTTAACTGGTTAGTTTGTGTTAGAGTTCTGTGGTCGTTGAAAGTCCATGTAATTTTGTAAATGTCTTTACAAGTGAAGAATGAGGACCCAATCCTGAGATTATGTATTGCAAAATAACTGTATAAAGCTCTCTACCATGTGAGTATCTTCTAAATCTATAGGCGGGGAGGTGTGTGCATGCACACGTTCTAACAATGTTCAAAACCAGATCAGTCCTCACCCATTTGTGAATCCCTGTCAGCCATGACTTCAGTAATGTCACCTATCAGCAATCAGGCGAAGAATGGGTCACCATAAACACAAAAAAAAAAGGATGACAGGAAACCACTAAACAACAGACATTTATATCGGAGCAAAGTTGACATCACAGAGGACTTCTCCTGTCCAGGCAGTTCCACTAATATGCAGGGAGCCTGAGACAGAGAGTTCAATAGGAGATTAGTCAAAATATCAGATTTCAACCTACTGAAAGATTTGAAACAGTTAAAAGGTTTTCCATTAAAACAAGCGGTACAATG